AACCACGTTACCATAAAGTTGTGTTTCCATTGAGTTATTTTATTATAGAAAAATCAGGAACATACATACATAACAAAGAATACAATTATCAGATACCTTGAGGTATTACTTAAGTAAGAAGCCCGTTGGTTGTTACTCCGAGATGAAGTTGCATTATTTTCTTGTGAGTTTCGTAAACAATTTGTGAAAACATCTTGATGTACGTGATGACCGTTTTAGGATCTCGTTGTTGTTGTTATGTAAATATTCTTGCTTTTACATGGCCATAAATATATGTTGTAGAAAAGGTGCGGTCATAGTTAGGAATCATTTTAATCGCAGTAGAACTTTTTAAAGTTTTTAAAAGGTTAACGAAAGAAAGAAATCTTTTGAATAATATAGAGAACAGAAGGGGACAACATGTATACATTTGTTATGTAAAGACGAATTTGTGAGAAAAGATGAAAGGGAAATACCAAAAATGGCGGATAGTGAACAAATAAAAAAGAAGATTAAAGTAAGCAGCTTTATAAAGAGCTGGCTATGAACAAGAAGGACTGGAGGAGGCTACACTGACAAAGGTCTGGCTTTTAAATAGGCTAATGATGAGAACTCTTTGTCAAACAGTTCGTTCAGGAAAGTTCTGCTATTGGTATAGGTATATGGTATTGAAGGATAAGGGTACTGGTAAAATTACAGGCACATGGGGCGTCTTGTCAGCTTTATGTTTTAGAGTAACAGGCGCAGTGGCAGTGCCCGTCAGATCTTTGCAATTTAAGCTCTGAGCGATACTGCAACTGTTATGCGTAGGCGTGTCGTTGTCGTTTAGGCGTCACTTTTACGCTAAACTAACTAGCGGTTTTGCCTATTGGTAACACGGTTGTTTTCAATGAGAGGTCTGCAGTTCGAATTAATGGTAAAAGTTTTGATGTTTTTTTCGAAGCTAGTAGAAGCTAGTTTTAGTAGCGAACATCGAAGAAGGTTCACAACCTTTGGAAAGCGTGTGTAGTCCCCAACTCGTATTGAGTCGGAGTGGTGGACTATGGACTGAACCCTTATATTATTATTATTTTTCATTATACAAAGAAACACCGAACAGGGCATCCCTTGTTTATTTAGTCACGGGACAAAATGTATCGCGTTCTTCTACAATAACTTCGTTTATACAATGATTATTTATTTATTAATCACTCTACAGATTCATCTGTATCGTGTATTGTATCAGTGCAACTAATAACATGAAGGTAAATCATTAATGCCAGTCATTTACAAGCGTTTTAGTCTTATTACACTTACTTATTTTTATTATTGACTGAAAATGGCCCAAAGTTAAATGGCTCAATCCATCCGGTTTTAAGCAAATATCAAGCCCTTTCTCAAGATAATATTCGAAAACCTCCGGCAATGGTACCGTCAGGTCATTACAAAGTGACAGGCGATCTAAATGCCAGGATCGTGCGCGAGCGCCGCACCACAGCAAATAAAGGCATTTGCCGATAGTGCGTACAATACACCTCGCAGTGCGATTTACAAACCCCAATTTTGAGTATAGAATGAAATTTGTTACAAGTGCAAAAAATTGTGAAAGCATGCTTTTTTAGAGTTAAAATTAAATGAAGTATTTAATTACAAAACAAATGATATTCTGGCGATGCTTGACATGAATTTTGTATGAGCCTATTTAGCAAATAGTACAGACGGCAGCACATCAAGCTACACGTTGATGGATCATATTGCGTTGCACTGGAGGCGATATTCGAACAAAAGTTTATAGCATGATGTGCTATTGATACAACTCCTTAAAATTGTGCCAATAAAAGATGATATTTTCATGATTCAATAATAAGGATTAAATCTTCTTTGGCGATTGATTCTATGGTTAGTCATAGATGTTTATTCTATTATTTTACGAAATAGTGAAAGATGTCAGATCGCCGTCATAGTATTATTTACTGAGAGAAGCATTTCGACTTTTGTAAAAACGTTTTATTCTTGTTTTAGTTCCTTAAGGATTTTATTAGCAAAATGCCATCGTTTCTTCTGAAAACAGTACAAGCCTACACTACATTTGTCGTTTATGCCTTTGAGAAAATCCAAACCTTTGGTATAATCTTTATTCTTACACCAGGTTATTACATCATACTGCTGACTCTCGTACGGCGTATGCTGGTCCACACCTATGACCCAGGATTAATCCAACAAATGTTTGACTTGTTTATATCCTGGTTTGGTTTCACCAACATTGCTGGCAATTTGATGATGAGTGTGCTTACTGATAGCACGGTGAAGAAAGCTGTCTTTTCCAATGACACAGCAGAATATTGCGCAATCTGTGACATATATCGCCCGGAGAAGAGCTGGCACTGCAGAACTTGCAATACTTGCATCCTCAAGAGAGACCATCATTGCGTTATTTTCTCCCGTTGCATTGGTCTCCTCAACCAACGGTATTACCTCCTCTACCTCTTCTATTTGCCAGTTGGCATTGCTTACTTCACGTATTATTGGTACTACTATTTAGTCGCGAAACAAATGGCCAACGATGGCCAATATTTGAATGAATATCACATCGCAATTCCTTTGTTGAAATTTATTACAAGATCTTATCACACCATCAGTGTTTTGGACTTGGAGAAATTTATATTGTTGATTAATATAGGCTTATTTATTTGGACCTTGAGTTTGTTTATTTTTCATCTAAAGAACGTGCTTCAAGGTCAGACATCCTACGAAGCTCGTATACGTCCTATAAACTGGAAGTTGAAGAGTTTGTTAGACTGGGCAAATTGGAAAATGAGAATGGAACATGTTTTTGGCATAAGATGGTATTTTGCAATTATTTGGCCTTTCATCAGCAGCCCTTTGCCAAGTACTGCGGCAGGGTTTCAGAAAATGTATTGAAAATACTTTGGTACGTAGCCTCGTCGAGGTGCCATGAAAATGTCTTACATTGATTTTATTGAATAAAGGTATTATTGCTTGCATTATGCGCATGTTTTTATTTATTAATCTATTTTTTTTATATTACGGCAACAGATTTAAACACGTTGTATTTTTAATTAATAGGAAAGCTCATGAAAAAGTTTCACAATTAGTTTTTCCCCATTCACACACGCATCGTCTACCAGAAAAATTTATCCGCCAAGGCACACAAACTGAGCAAAACAAATATGAATAGATATGCGCTGTTTTTCGAACCCGTCACAAATGACAGGAGCAAAACCGACAATCTAATAAATATCTTTACGAGCGCCAAATAATGCCGTACGAAGCATAATGAAGCCCATATGGAGAATCCGGTTCGGACCTATCGGACACTAGTAGCCAATTTGAAACGAGATTGTTTATGATGACATAACGCCTTAGTATGTATATTCATAAATTGCATTACGTAAATATAATAAATCTCCTTAAAAAAACAGATGAAATGTCGGTTATTATCGATGAAATGTCGATACGTAAACTTCAAAACATGGTAAAACTTTGCCTACCCAAATGGATGAAAATTAAAAAAAAAAAAAATAACGACAGTGGCCGCCATCTAAGAAAAAATAAATACAATATTAATAAAACTAAAGATAACCTAAGAGAAAAATAGATCATAGGCTTCACAAAATAACGTGAAATCGATTACTTTTATAATATTTTTCGACAATGTCAAGGATTGAAAACCGTAGTAAGTGGTACAGATTTTGGTTCATATTTGAAAGGATTCAGTGCCATCTAATAGTATTCGTGGTGACTCCTGCATATTTTATATTCATGATGGTTATCATCCGAAGACATGTAGTCGCAGAGCTCAAGATAACCCTGGCTAAACACATAATACATGTCATTCTTTCTACATATTGTTTTGTAAACATCACTGGTAATATGATGATGTCGATTCTTACTGACACAACTTTGAAGAATTTGAATATTTCAATCAACGCCAAACGTGATTTCTGCGAACACTGCAACACATACCGCCCTGAATACGCGTGGCATTGTAAGACATGCAACGTTTGCATATTGAAACGAGACCATCATTGTTTCATCTTCAATCGATGTGTTGGACTCAAGAACCGCAGGTACTTCATCATGTACCTCGCTCATTTGTTTATAACAATGATTTACTCTACCTACTATTCTTTAGTCTTCGTTTATAGCAAGTTCCAACACGATGGTATAGTTCTTTCTGCGTTCCGCCTAGTCAATCCATTCGTAAGATATATGGTGCCGGAGCCTTGGGGGATTCGAGATTTGTACGTGATTTTTATATTCATGAACTCTGGATTTATAATTTGGTCAGGAGGAATGTTGTATTTTCATTTGAATAACGTGTTGATGGGAGTAACGGCTCGTGAGAGTTGCAGCTTAAACCTTAGTGTCATAAAATCTAAATGGAAGGAACATGTGATGTCAGTGTTAGGTGTAAAGTGGTACTTGGCTATATTCTGGCCATTTGTTGAAAGTCCTCTACTTATAAATGGAACTATTATAGATTAAATAGAAATTGTAATTTTTTAATTATATTTTAGGGTTAATTAGAATTAATGCTATTAATATAGTAAATTGGAGTTTAATTTATGTTTTTCTTATCTTGATTTCATTTATTAACTTAATTATTTAACAAGTTTTAATGTAATTTGTTAAACAGAGAATAGAAATAAAGATTTTTGTACCATTATGGCTAGAAAACCCATAAGTTTTAACAGCGACAGAACATACTGCTTTTTAATTTCTTTGACATCGGAATGTACTTGGAAGTTGGTTTCCTGGCAAAATATCAAACAGGTCTTTGCTTCATTAAGTATTTAGTTGTCACACGTAACGGTTGCGTAAACAGGCGAACTGCGCGCGTGCATGTTAATATTGAAGGAAGCACACGATCTATTGATAAATGATACATAGACGGTGTTAGGTGATTGTGGTTTCTTGAGGGAAATGTTGAGTTTTGTAAAGCAGTTAGCCATAAATTGCGATATCTCGGTATAAACAACAGCGAATTGCCACAATTACCACTCATGCTTTCTAATAGTCCTAGCTTTGCTATTTAAAGCAGCGTCAGCTATCTATTGAATATACCTATCTGATTTTATTTCCCAGGTCCTACCGCACCCCATGAAGCTTACACAGAGAGATCCAATTAGTTACAATACCCATACCAATTACTCAGCATCATGCAATCTATAGCACGTACGACACCATATACCTATTCTATACCATCAAATATAGCCTGTGCACGTGCCTCACCGTTATTACGAAGACCCGTTACCACACTACATTTAAAAGGAACTATTATAAAACGAACACTAGAACCATTTTCTGTAGACATAACGTCATTGGTAGTTTATGTTTCGTTTGTATTGAAGTTTCCGCATTTCTCTAGTAGCATGGGGGTCAAGGGTCGATACTGGTGCCACCATTAGTAGATATGGATAGGTCCTGTAGGTTCATTTATATTTAGGCAATTTTATTGCAGAATCTGTATTGGAAATGTAACATCTTTATAAACAAATGATATTATAATGAATAGATTTCGGTGACAAGGACTGTATTAAAGCTTAAATCAACGTAAATATAGGCAGACCATCATCAAAGGAGAATTAATCAAGTGGTAAACCAAGAATAAGTTACATAACTGAATTTATGCGGTTTCGTATCAAAACAAATAATTTAGTGTATTGTAGGTAATACACAAAACAAACTTTCTAGTTCCTTCAACGGAGGGGAGGAGTTAAAAATTTTTGCAGCAATAAACTCAAAGTTACCAGGAGGTAATAGTAGTGCTTTCGAAACCTAAAAGTATGTATGTACAGAGGTCTTCAAAGTCGTGTGCCGCGTTGATAGGTGATAATTCAAGTTCGTAATGAAATTGGATTGTACATGATGATTATGATATACTACAACCCTAGTATATTATCTTTAGCGGATCATGTATATAATTAACTTTGGAAAGAAATAGGGGAGAACGTTACGTCGACTAGCATTACTTCGAAAGGAAAGCTTGATTAACCTTGTTATTACACAACACTTTCGAAGTAATTTACAGAAACACCAATAAAAATAAATAAATAACATCCAATTTATGTCCGTGAATGTGACCACGTCGCCGCAGCCATATTCACACTTTCTCTGCTTCAATGAGACTGAAAAATGTTTTTATATTAAAAGTTTTTGTACTAAATTCATCCCGTTCTGTAAATTATTGTCTAACTTCATTAATATGCCCAATCGTTCTTTGTGACATGAAAACTATTTTATAATATTTTTGATAAATCGTGAAAAGTAGGAAAACGGTGGCTTCTCGATTGAGAAATCTTCGTTTATTTACGAAAGAATATTTAGTATCATGATGCCTGCATGCCGAAGAAGGTTCACAACATGTGGAAAATGGCTGAGATGGAGACCCACGCTCAGCAATGGGCTGTACAAAGGGTTATTGATGATGATGATGAAATTATTGTTGTGTTGTGTATACGAGCCTGGGCAGAGATGAATCTGCTCGCAACAAAGTTTGCAAATAACAATTTTTTTTTTATGATACTAAGTGACGGAACGAACAAGTCGTGCGCCTGATGGTAAGCGACACGCCTGTGCATAACAGTTGCAGTGCCAATTAGAGCTTTAAATCGCAAAGATTTGAGTGGCACAACCACTGCTCCCGTCACTCTAAGACATGAAGTTGATAAGTCTCATGTGCCTGTAATGCCTTCAAAACCGGAACGCAGTAATTATTGGAATAATTCCTAGCCTAATTTACCAACAGTCATTACTGCTTGGCGGCAAAAATAGTTAAGTTGGCAGAGCACTTACCTGGACGAACTCTTTCAAGAGAAACTCTACTGCTACTTACAAACATATAAACATTTAATACATAACAACACATAACAACGAACCTTGTACATAAATAATTACTAGGGTTTATGTCTTTATTTCTCTGGAAGATAAGATTCAAAATGACGTTATCCGACAAAGAACCAATCATCTACATATCTGGTACAATAAGCAAGCTGAAGTAGCAGTGAGCGGACCAAATGTGTCGACGAACCGATAACCAATATGGGAAACAAGTTCTTGAGTGGATACCAAAGCTCGTCAAAAGTATTATGGGACGCTTTCTGGCCAGATGGAGTGACGATCTGCAAAAGGCTGCTAGCAGCACATGGACCCTACAAGCTGAGAACCGGGCGCACATTGGGATAGGCCTACAGATTTCAATAAACCTTAGGTAATTCCATGAACTTTTGAGGTCAGTTTTTTTATGAAAAAGTTACAATTACTGAAGTTTTGTTAAGTACTGTTAAGTTTAATAAGGCCAGTCTTTTGAGAAATGTACGGCATTATAATATATTATTGTTACGTTGCTAACAAATGAAATTACTTTCGTGATAAACGTTTTATACAAACTAATTTGTCGCGTATTAAAAACTGATTTCCTTGTTACACGAATCAAATTGGTTATTATGTTACTTTTGAGATTACGCAACTTATCGATTTCTTTGTTTCAAAAAAGAAGTTTGTTTGTTTAAATAGTTTCATCTCCTAGAACCCAAATTCTTCTTTTATCAAGCCATTCCTCTTTAAACTGAAGTTTTACATCAGTTTCATTTATTCACTTTTCTTTACACAAATACCACTCAATCTCCTTAAAAGCTGTGGTCGGGATCGTGTCGTGATCGTTGAAACGTCGAGAGGCCACTCGGAGCACATAATAAATATGACAAATCGTTGCAAAATAAAACGCTAATGGCTGCAAATGGAATATTATAAATCAACTATCGAGCACCCTTCCTGACAGGAGGAAAGGTTGAATTTCAAATTAGGATTAAAGATTGGAGGCATTAATGAATCCTAAATATTTTGCAAACGGTTTCGTACCAATGTACATAGTTGTGATAGGCACTTTGGAAAACTCTAACATTTCAATCGGGGACAG